GAGCGGCGGGGGGGGGGGGGCGATAATGGCTTTGAAGTTTTGGCTGATGGAAACGTGGAACAATCATTGTTAGGTCTGAACAGATGTAGCCTGGTTGAAGAGAATGTTTTTTGTTCTCAGAGAGAACATTCTTCAACTCCTTTAGGGTATGAAGAGGCTGGAGATGGAGACAGCATGTGCTTGCAAAATGTTGATTTCTGTAAGATTTGAGGTTTTCACATTACCTTGTTAGCCATTATTATTTTGGTGACAATTGTTATGCCTTCTTTGGTTTTTTACAGTCATTAGCATGACGGTGTGTCAGTGTTGCTTACATACAACCTAGATCTAACAGCATAACATGCCCCACTTACCTTAGGTATCAGTTTATCAATACGATTTGTCCGATTTAGGTCATTATCAGTTTGTAAACACAGGAATTTTACATTTCCTGACTCTTTTATACTTTCCATTATAACCAATACTTGAAGCATATTGTGGTGAGTTATTTGTTATAAATTTTATTATTTGGGGTTTTAGAGGGGAGTGTACAGGAATCGGGCCAGGGAACACAAGAAAATTGTCTACCAGGGTCACTTGATGAAGGAGGGGGGGGGGGCGATTATGGCTTTGAAGTTTTGGCTGATGGAAACGTGGAACAATCCTTGTTAGGTCCGAACAGATGTAGACTGGTTGAAGAGAATGTTTTTTTGTTCTCAGAGAGAACATTCTTCAACTCCTTTAGGGTATGAAGAGGCTGGAGATGGAGACAGCATGTGCTTGCAAAATGTTGATTTCTGTAAGATTTGAGGTTTTCACAGCAGTGTGTATGAAGATTTCTGTCTTCTGGGTTGTTGCGCTGTGTAGTCCGGTCAATGTTAACCAACGTTTCAGAGGTCATACTGCCTCCGTCATCAGAGCGAGGCAGTATGACCTCTGAAACGTTGGTTAACATCGACCGGACTACACAGCGCAACAACCCAGAAGACACAAACCTTCATGTTAATTTCTGTCTATGAGACAACTCATTGTTCCAAATTAGCCCAATGATTAATACGTACAGTTAAAGTAACAGTGCTCTCATTATAAAATACACTTGTTTTCAGTGTGTCTTAGACTTCAGGTGAATCCACAGAATAAGAACCAATTCAACGGCATCAGTCCAGAGCGAGGTTTTGCTGATTTCATATTTGCCCATATTATTTTGCACATAGTGGTGATGAACTTTATTGGTAACAACCCATAAGGTCAAATCTGAGTTTTTTGAGGAACCAGTGCTTCAGAAACAAAACTGTTAATGAGATAATTAATGATTAAGAGAATGATTCAAAGAGATGGATGTTATTGATAACTAATTCAAAAATATGTGTATAAGATTTGGTAGTAAAATCATGTTTCAGTCAAGTTTAAAATCATAATATTTTCATGTAAACATGATGAGACTGGAGCAGACATTGGAAACTGGAACAGTTTTTTGCCTTTGGTTAGACTTAAAATAGTCCATACTATGTATGTGAGGTGGATAAACATAGTAGTCATGTTGACCACAAGTGTGATATTTCTAATTAAAATTATTAATGAATAATTTGATAATACATGGTACAGTGAGAAAATTATCAGACCTGACCTAGACACACCCAGCCTTTTCTTGTCTACTGTTCGGGACACTCAAGATGGAGGCTTTGACGATGGCTGGGTCTGGATCAGGTCTGGGAATTTCTTGGTTGTGCTATGTATATATCACTTGAAAACATCAAGAAGTGTTGTATGTTCATCAGATTTTTAAATCCCTCGAT